CGGCCTGCGGCAGCGCCCGTGGCTGCAATGGCGGCCTGACGCCGCCAGCGTAGTAGAGCGTGCCGAGCGAGGCCGTGAACCTGATGACCGAATACTCCTTCTGGGAGAGCACCAGTGCGCCACAGTCCAGCTGAGATTCGGGCCTGCTGCGCAGTGCTCCGTAGCCGGTGTATCTTGCGAAACCTGGCTGTGGCTGAGATCTGTCGCTTCCCGGCTTTGGCTTGTACCCGTCGAGTAGCCGCGGCCGCGTCAACTCCAAGGTCGACGGCCGTGGAGGTCGCAGTAACTGGGATGTCGTACTGTCGCATCTTCTTGGCTAGCGAGTGGCGGACCTTGGGAGTGGAGCCAATGAGGACGGTCTTGTCTGAGATAGGTAGCTCGAACTCCTTTAATCCGTCGCAGAGCGTCCTGGCGGCACGGGGGAGGTGCTTCTGTAAAGCACGTGGGACTCGTTCGACTCGAAGAACAGTGTCGTCGACGAAGGTCCACATCTGGGCAAGCTCTGCCTGAGCTTGGGCTTGTCGAAGAATTGGTAGCAAAATAAGTCGTGCCAGGGTGGTGCCGTGAGGGGAGCCTGCAATGATGCCTTTGGAGGCGAAGATAGGCATACTCACCCATTGCCGACTGCGCAAGAATCTGGGCGCCAGGTATAGCTGCACCTCCAATAATAGAATGATGGGAGGAAAGCCGCAGTTGAGGCCGACCATGATGAGGTTGGCGAGCTTGATATTGTCGTAGAACTTCTGGATGTCTAATAGCAAGGTGGCCGACTGTATGCCAAGTGCTGAGGCTGTCTCGTCTAACAAGGCCCTATGTAGGGCGGCTTGGAGAGCTGAAGAGCCTTTGATGGCTGTAGTCCAAAAGTCGTCCAGACCTTGCGTCCAGGCTGCCGATGCGGTAGATCTAATGCGAGACCAGAGTCTGGCCATATGAGGGAGCATGCCGAGGACCCTGTCGCCTCCAGACTTCTTGGCGGCGAGAGCTGCAATGGTGCCTGAAATTTGTAGTGGCCAGATGCCTGCTTGCTCCACTGAGTTGAGGATATCTGCATAAGCTTCGACTGCTGGTTCTGGTAATCGATGGAGGTCGCGAGGTCCTAGGGCGTCAACTCCGTGTGCTTTACTGGGTGGCATGCGGCCGTGAATGCGGTGTACGATCTCGGCTGTGATGGGCTCGAGCGGTTGATGAGCAGCTGCTGCCTTGGCCTTTGACAGGGCCTGGAGGATGTCGTCGGAGGTCTCGGTGGCTTGCCATACTTGCTGCCATTGTTGCTTCTTGTTGTCCATGATGACGGCGGGGTCAGCGATGGTCAGGTTGGCCGTGTAGGCCTCGATGCGACGTGCGGGTGCTGGCTTGACATGGGCGTGTAGTACTCCAGGGCGGTGCTTCCATTGCTGGGCGAGCCAAGCCCCGTAGGCCCTCTTGGACGTGGCGAGGGCGGCCGAGAGGGCTCTGGAGGCCCAGGTAGCGGTAATGGTGACCAAGTCGTCGGTGTCATCCTTGTCCAGGTGCGGGGCCCAGACGAGCGCAAACCAGCGGAAGATGGTGTCCTCATCCTTCTCGAACTGAAGGTCGTGCATGTGAGTGTTGAAGTGGTCCGCGCGCTGCTGGATGATGGTGGCCTGCTGCTGCATAAGCGCTGTGTGCTTGGGCTTGTCGTGAAGCGCGGCGTAGCGCTTGATGAGGGTGAGCGTAATTGCCCACCGTTCCGAATGTGGGTCGTGTACGTGTACGCGGCCTGGGGCAGCAGCTGTCTTCTTCCAAGATAACTGGTAGCCCTGAGCTCGGCCAGTGTATGCTGCAGCTTCCTTCGGGTCAATCTGGTGGTGGCTGATCATGGTGTTCTCGAGCGCCGTGGCCCATTTGGCGTACTTGAGGTTGAGGACGTCGGCGTCGTGCACCCAGCGTCTGTACACGAAGTGCGCGTGTGGCTGCTTACAACGTGTGGGTACCGCTTCCTGCCATTGTTTTTTCCCACAAGCCCATCGGGATGGCATAGGGGATAGGTTCCTGTGCTGCGGGCTCGTCTTGCGGCTGAAGCTGTGCTGCTGCTTGTTGGAGTTCAGGAGGTAGATCACGGAGACGTGCTGCTCGAGCTTCAGCTGTTTTACGTTTCTTGATGGCGGTCTTGCTGTTGGGGTCTGGCGGAATCCTGGGTCTGTCCACTATGGGGAAGGACTTGGGGGTATCGATCGACTGATACCACCAGGGGTCTGCGCTGCCTGCTCGAACTTCAAGGCCAACGTGGGTGGCCCAGGGTACTGTGGGGCACTGGCGAATGGAGATCGTGTGCTCGATGCCAGTCTTGACCAATGCGAAATCAAGCGTGAGTCCCTGGCCCTTGTCGCAAGTGGCGGATCCAGGTGCTCGCACGATGGTAGCATTCCATTTGGCGAGCCACTCTGTCGCTGCAAGCTGCTCAGGTGTCATGTTCCAATCGGCCAGGATGATCCAAGGGTCTGTGAGCATAGTAACGAACGCTCCCAGCGAAGGTAGCTTATCGTGTACTGCACCCTCGATCTGCCTGTGGGGTTCCAGATACGCGGCAATAACAACCAAGTTGCCAGAACGTCTGTGCCATACCATGGGCGTGAAGCCGAGGAACGGGTCAGGCGTGCGCTGGGAGATGGCAAGGTCACGGAGGTGGTTGAACGTGGTGGCCTGGACATGGTACCTGGATAAGATGATCTCGCCACCCGTGTTGCCGCCGTCTGATCTACTGGTAGGAGTGGCCGTAGTCGATGATATTCTCCAACCATCCGCTGCTAGCTTGTCGTAGATGGGCGGCGCTTTTCCAGGCGAGATGTGTGTTTCAACTAATGCTACCATCTGATATTGCTTGCCTGGTCCTGCCAACCATTTCTCCGACTGTGGTCCCCATTGAGTAATGTTGGAGAAGAACAGGGAATGGTCTGACAGCGGGGGCTTCGTAGGGCCTTCGTCTTGGTAGGCGGGACTAGGGTCGGCTCTCGGGCTGCTGGGCTTCCATGGCCCTTTCCCTGCGGGCGTGTCGACAGCTTTCGCCATCTCATCGCCCCCTACCAAGGACTGCGTCTTGGGCGGGGCGGCATCAGGGTTTGCCTTTGGCGAAGGCTCCCCTGGTTCCTGTACCACATGCACGTCGACAGCTTGTGCCGTCTCATCGCTCCCTACCGAGGACAGCGTCTCGGGCGGAGCGGCATCAGGGTCGGACCGCGTAGCACGCTGCGGCTGCCCTGGGTCCCATACCACGGGGTCGACGGTCTGTGCCGCCTCATCGCCCCCTACCGAGGACAGCGTCTCGGGCGGGGCGGTAGCGTACTGCTCGGAAACTGCGAAATCGATGTGGGCGTCCAACTCGGCCAGCTCGTCGAACGGGTCGAGGACTGCGTCCATTGTATTGATGATCGGTGGGTTGTCGTAGATCGTGGTCTCTGACGGTAGGCGTCCCGTCTCACCATTCCGTCCAGGGTCGGGTTGTAGTCGGCTAAAGAGGCTGCTGCGGTCCAGCGGCGGCGGCAGCAGTGGGCTTGCGCATCTGGCTGAGCATCTTCTGTGCCTTGTCTTCGAGGTCGGGGTCCTTGTTGAGTGCAGGTACAGGCTGTGTGGCGTAGCCGCCGTCAGAAGAAGCGCCAGCAGCAGGTGCGGGAGGCTCATCGCTTGGCGCCGCTGGCGGAGAGGGCGCAGTGCCCTCAGCATCCGCTGCGGCTGCCGCTGGGGGTTCGCCTGCTGCAGCCGAGGCGGCGGGCGGTGATCCACCTCCCTCTCTGGCGTGCCCATCCTCGTCAGCGCGCTGCCGCTTGGAGGCGAAGCGCGTGCGCATGGTGCTGGCCTCTGCTCGGAGCTGGCTGATGCGGCTGGCGGTGTTGCCGAAGAGCTCAGTGACCTTGGCCTTGAGCTCCGTGGCAAAGCGCTGTTGCAGGGATTCCCATGCCTGGCGGTCGCTGTCGTCGATGTCGAGGCCTTGGAGATCGAACGCTGCACCCGCTTCGATGGAGATGTCGCCGTCCTCGAGGAGGCTGGTGAGGTTGAAGGCCGGGTTCTGCTGCGACGGCGTAAAAGTAGCTGTGCCGCCCTTGCGGGCGGCTTGGAGTGCGTCGAGAGCCGCTTGGGCCTCCGCCTGGGCTTCAGCCAACTTGTAGGCGGCCTCCTCCGACGCCTGCTTGCGCTCTGTGTACCAGCTGAGCGCCTTCTGCTCGCTCTCCAGCAGCCTCTCCAGGTTGTTCTTGCAGCGGCGCTCCGTAGCCTGGGCGCGGCTGTAGATGTCGTTGAGGTCGGCTGGCTTCTGCGGCTGGGGCGGCGGAATCTGCGACTTGATGCCGTCAATGGCTGCCTTGTCGATGTGGGGGGCGATCGCCTGGAGCTCCGCCAAGATGTCCTCGGCGGAGCGAGCCTTGGGGGTGTCGTTCTTGCTGGCCCACCAGTCGTCGTCTTGGTCCTTGCCGTTGCCCTTGCCACGGCGGCGGCGGGACTTGGGCCATGATGACCACGGCTCCCAACCTCCCTCGGGGCTGGACTGCTGGGTGCACTTGGCCTCGGCCTGGGCTGCGGCTGAGACACGGGCCGCCCAAGCACCTTGCACCGGAGGCGGGGCATCTGTCCACGGCGCCAAAGCTTTGCCACACCAGTAGCACGTCTGCTTGGTCTTCCAGTTCCAGGCGTACGAGCAGGAGTAGCACTTGACGTAGCCGCTGCGCTGCTGCGGAGGCGCCATGGACGAGCTGAGGAACAGAGAAAGCTCACCTGCGGGCAGCAGGAGGCACACGGAGCGTTGAACAAAACTGTCGGGCTAGAGAGCCCTGGCACTGGCCGCGGACTAGCGGTATCCACTTGTTCCCCTGCGGAACTAGGCATCTTGAGCCAAAATGGCTACGGAGGAGGAGGAGGAGGAGGAGGAGAAGGAGGAGGAGGAGGAGGAGTAGGAGGGGGACCCTCACTCCATCAGAGCCCGTGCGGCGCCGGAGGAGGTGGAGGGGCGAGATGGACAGAGGCCCGCCCTGGGGCGCCTCGCCGCACGCCAGGGCTGGCCTGCGCAGCGCGCAGCCGCGGCGGGCGGACTCGCCCGAGGCGGTGGAGGACCTGAGGCGCGCGCGCAGGGGCGGCCCACGTCAGTATCGTTCGGCATCGTTTAACCAATCCCCATCCCCATCCCCATCCCCACCCCCCTCCCAATCCCCACCCCCATCCCCATGCCCATCCCCATCCCCATGCCCATCCCCATCCCCATCTCCCACCATCCCCATCCCCAGTTGGGGATACACCCCTCGAAACCTCAAGGGAACGACCTATATCCCCGTTTATAGGGGGGCAAATCGGCCAGTGGGGCCCAGGCCACGCCGCTAGGGCTGGGGATCGGTTAAACAATACTCAATCGTTCAACCGATCCCCATCGAAGGCTCAGGAAGGGATACATCGATCCCCTTTCTCAGGCGATCGCAAACATGTATCAAGGGGGCGTGGATTGGCGACGGGTCCCGTTTCCATGGGAGATCGCGGGTTTCCGCCGCCGAGCGAGGCGGCAACAGCCGCATTTGGGTGATGGTACCTCCCCCGATCCATGGATTTGGCGACCGCGCGCCAAATCCATGGATCGCTAATCCATGTTTGCGCGCCCCCGTCAGTATCGTTTATGCGATCCCCATCGAAGGCTCAGGAAGGGATACGCCGATCCCCTTTCGCCCTCAATCAGAGCCCCGAATCGTCCGGGGTAACTCGGATCGGGGCTAAGTCGGGTTTGTTTTTTCGGGGAATCCGAACCCGAGTTGCCCTGGCCCCGAGTCACCCCGGATAATTCGGGCGTCCAGAGCCCCAAATCATCAGGGGTAACTGGGGTATAAGGGCTAACTCGGGTTCGTTTTTCGCGAATCCAAACTCGAGTTACTCCGGGCCCGAGTTACCCCGGATAACTCGGGCGCCCAACTCAAACATCGGCGAGGAAAGTGGCCCAAGAGTTCTTACAGCAGCACTTCCTGCTGCATGTGTCTACTGGAGGCTTGGTCGTCGCCGCCGTCGTCGTGCGAGGTTCAGCTTGCGCGTGGTGTTCGTCGTCGTCGTCGCCGTCGTGATCGGTTCGGTGCGTCGGCGTCGTGGCCGCCGTCGTCATCGTGGAGTTTTTGGAGGCGTGCGCTCGGCGTTTTCGCTGCGCGCTCTGGGCGTCCCCGCAGGGGCAAAGGTAGGGGGGCATGCGTACACCTCAGGCGATGCTTAAGAAAACTTAAGTTTTCGGCCAGAGTCTCGATTATTCTTAACGTTTCAATGTAAATCCTAAGATTTGAATGGGAACTTTAGGTTTTTATTCTAGTTCTGAGACTATGAATTTCTTAACCCATGATTTCTTAAGCATTTCGCAGGGTGTAGGGGGGCATGCGTAGGTTCAGGAAGGGATGCGTCGATCCCCGATCGCCCACGCACCGACGATGGGGGGGGCCTGACAGCCCACCCTGCCCCAGGAGCGTGCGGCCTCTGTCAGGGGCCTGGCGCCCATCGAGCGTCGAGGCGTCGCCGCTTCGACTGTGATGCATCCCTCCCTGGGCCGGTCCCCCCCTCCCATCGTTGACCCTCGGTCTCGGGTCGGTCCTCCTCGCGTGGCGACACCAAGCTCGACGGACGTCGGGGGGCATGTGTTTCCTTCTCGCGGGGCCCCGCCAGGCCCCGATACTGTCCCACACGACTCGGAGTAAGTTGTCTGAACCTCTCGTGGCCGACGTGGGGGGCGTGGGGGGGGGGGACACAAAAACACGGCGTCAGAGGTCTGGGCAGGTCGGACGGAAGATTGTCTGGCGTTTTCGTTGTGGCTCTCCGCGGCTTTCCAGCTTCGGGGTGCGTTCCCGCAGCCGCGTGGTCAGACGGAGCGGGCCAGGTCTTCGGCGATACAGCGAGCACGCTGAAATAATTGCCACATCGGGCAGCCTGGTTTTCGGGCCACTCCTTAGTTCTACTTCGGGGAACCGATTCGAAGCCGAGGCTCGCAGTGAGCGGAAGAGCCCCTTCCTTCAGCGCTCTTTGTGGTAGCACGATGGCCAGATGATTGTGTGCCTTATTGAATCCTGGCGTCTTTCCTCGATTCTGGCCTCTGGGGTTGATGTCGGGCTCCAGGACCATGCAGAGTAGATCCAGGACGAAACATTGGCCCCAGTGAAGAGGTCGGGGCTTCTTGTACTGAGGGGTGTATGTGGATATTCATATGGTTTATTTATGGCCTGACGTAGCTGAGCAAATATTTGAGTGGCTAGGGTTGTAGATACCTCCGCTATGTGGGCGGAGCCCACTTCGCCCAGATCCTCACAACCCTGAAGCCACGCAGGGCAGTTGCAATCCACGTATGAGCTAGTCTAGGCCATGTACATATATGTGTATATATACATATAGATCTGTCGGAGGTTTGGGTGGAGATGGCAGTGAAACGAAGACCCCCCACCGGGAAATCGGTTTCGGTTTCGTGTTCGTGTCGTGCGTGCGAGCGAGGCTAAGCTGCGCGTGATCATCCTGTAGCTAGGCCGAAGTAGGAGCGAAAGTCCGTTCCCGTCCGCCGGTGGCTCGGAGGTGTCTGAGTTGGGCCGGGCGGTGTCCCGGGTGTCCCGGGTGTCAGTAGGAGCGAAAGTTCGTTTCCCGTCCGCCGGTGGCCGGGAGGTGTCCCAGTTGGGCCGGGCGGTGTTCCGGGTGTCCCGGGCGTCCCAGCGCTAATGCATGTCGCTAATTTCATAATTCATTTTTTTCGGAGACTGCGGCGGGCTTTCTCATCCAATCCAGCTTATCTTCTCCAATCCATCTTGTCCAGTCCAACCCATCTTATCTTATCCATCCAACCCAATCCATCAATTCATTTGTTTCTGCGCCTGCGGCGGGCCAATCCAATCCATCTTCTCTTATCCAATCCATCTCTTCCAATCCAACCCATCTTGTCTTATCCAATCCACCCAACCCCATCCAATCCAATCCACCAACCCAACCCAATCCGAGACAGGGAGAAAGAGAGAGATGAGATCAAGGTGACAGGCTGGAGGTCAGTCAGGGTCGGCATTTGATCTCAATCCCCCCCAACCTCCTTATCGCCCGGTGTGTGTGTGTGTTATATATATATAAATAAATAAATAAATAAATAAATATATGGCACTGTCTTTGACTGGAATGAGGGCGGGTGGAAACTGCGAGAGTGGGAAGCGACCGCGGCCCATTTTTGCTCAAAGTTTTTGAGGCGTCGCACCTCGGATGGTGCTCCCAGACTATCTGAGCGACCTTCTCCAGTCGGGCGCGCGGGAGATAGGCCGCGGCGGGGTGGCTGGCGTGGTTGCCAGCTGGACCGCGACTGGCGGTCAGTCGGAGCCCTGCCCGCTCCCACCACCCTGTCCGCCTGGGCCTGCCTGCCCCAACCTGACCTGCCCGGAGCTGACTTGCCCCGAGGCGGTCTGCCCGGCGTGCCCGGCGCTGATCTGCCCTGAGGGGCCGCCGTGGGCGCTGCTTGCCGCGGCCGTCGTGTTCAACGTGGTGGTGGCAGCGGTCGGCGGCTTCTGTGCCGGCGCGCGACGCGGAGCTCGTCAAGATGCTGGTGGCAGCAGGATCAGGCGGCCTGCCCTCCGGGGTGGCGGCTTCATTGAGAGGGCTGATGCCGGGCAGTAGGATCCTGGTGCGCTACGTGGACGCCGGCGAGGACCTCCTGCACGAGCGCGTGTGCCTGTGGCCGGTGAGCTTCGAGGAGTGGATCACGGAGTCCCCTGATGGCGACCAGATGCCTGAGCGTCTGTCAGGCCCTGACGTCGAGGAGTTCATCGTGCTGGCGCCTGGTGGCGGGGTGCCTCGGCACGTGGCCTCGCCGAGGTACCGGTTCCGACGAGAGATCGGCGCCCGGGAGCTCCGCGTGAAGGTGATCGAGGCTCGGCACTTGGCGCGCCAGGCGCTCGCCGCTGGCGAGGCGCCGCTGCCCGCGCCGCTTCACACGCAGCAGTGGGACGGGAGCGTGCTGGCGCTGGAGGACTTCTGGCGGCTTGGAGGTGCTCCTGCCCGCCGCGGGCGGGGTAAGGCGCCACCGATTGTGCTGGATGCGCCCGACGACGAGGACGACGACAAGGGGGGCACCCAGACCCCTCCACCCCGAGAGGAGGCTGTCGCCGCCGAGGCGACCGCCACCGTGGAGGACGAGAAGGACTACCGCTGGGTCGTCGGCGAGCCGAACTCCTCGTTCCCGCTCGGCACCGAGTTCACCGTCGCGACGATCCTCGCCGAGAGGGACGCCTGCAGGCTGGGGGATCGGATGCTGGTGAGCGTCGCCGCGACCCCTGCCTCGGGTCGGACCGCCGAGGGCGTCGTGGTGCTCTACCGCCTCCACGTGGACGACGTGCCTGGTTTTGGGGCCAGGCGCTGGAAGGACATTGCCGCGCTTATGCCCCGCGACGGGTCTGCGGCACCTGAGCCTCCTCTGCCTGCCCCTGTGGACGCGCCGCCTGAGCTGGACCTTGACGACGCCAGGACCCTGTCCGTGCAGTACGACGAGCAGGGCGAGAGGTTCCGCTCGTGGAAGGAGGCCGTCGCCAAGATGCACGAGAGCTTCTATGAGGACTGGCCCGTCGAGGGCCCGCGCACCATGCTTTGGATGGCGAAGAACATTGAGAGGACTGGAGGCTCCCCGATGCAGTGGTACCACAAGTATCTCGTCGAGAACCGCATCGCTGCTTCGGACCGTCTCGCGTACGAGCTCCAGGCGATGTGCCGCCTGCTGGAGCACGCCGGGTGCTACGATCAGCTCAACCTCGCGTCGCTGGCCGCGTTCGAGGTGTTGGCGAGGAGGATGCAGCTGTTGCTGGACGCGGCCAGTCGTGGTCCTGGAGAGGGCCGCTTTGAGGACGAGGAACTGTGGTCAGGCCATTCGCAGCGGACGGCGGGGATCGCCCCGGCCCTCACCGCTCACGTGGCTACCCGTACCAAAGAGAAAGCCGAGATCGAGAAGCAGCGCCAGAAGGCCCAAGAAGTGCGTGCAGCCACCGCCAACCCGAAGGCAAAGGCAGCCGCCAAGAAGGGGGCTGGAGGCGCGGCAGACGCTTAGCTGTGCGACGGCGACTGGCAGGGACCCCACTGCTAGTCGCTTCTACCTCAGAGGGGCAGCGCTTCCGGGCGCAGTTTTTCAGCTCAGGCTCGCGTTCGCCGCCTACTTGAGCTTCACCTTCTTTGCCATGATGCAGCCTGAGGTCTTCCCTTTGCCGTCGCTGACAGAGGAAGGGCCTCGCCGTCCTGGGCTCAGCCGAGGCGTGTGTCAACGAGTCGCTCGTCGTCAGGCCATCACTCGTCGTGCCAACGATGCCATCTCAACCCTGAACTGGCTGAGCGGGTGCGGTGGGGCGGCCCCCGAGGGGATATGCTCGCCGGCGCAGGCCGAGGCCGTCCAGCACATTAAGGGCGTGATGGAGCGCTCTCAGGCTGTTGATGCTGTTCCGCGTCCGCATGAAGCCGCACGCGCGCTTCTGCGTTCCCGAGCCGGATATGACTCGGATGAGCACATTGTGAGCGACTACCAGGAAGAGCTGTTGTCGGTACCCGCGTCGTGCAAGGACTGCCCTTATGCGGTCGATGTGGTGCCAGCTGAGGCTGCATCAATGCTGGTAGATTTTGAAGAACGCATGGTCAGGCCTGACATCGAATTTTGGGAGCTGGAGGACAACTCGGAGCCGGTCACCCCCTACATGGACCGAAACTTGTCGGGGGATCGACAGGCCTACATCAAGTTTGTCCGTCGGCTGGAGTCAATTGGTGTGTTGCGGTGGTGCGCCGCTGTCAAGGAGCGCGCCACCGTGTTCTGTGTGAAGAAAAAGTCGGGGATGCAGCGGCTAGTGGTCGACGCTCGCCGCAGCAACCGCCGCTTTCGCGATCCCCCCGGAGTGGAGCTGGCCACCGCCGAGTCGCTAGGGCTCATCGAGGTCGACGACGACGTGGAGGTGTTCATCAGTACAGGCGACGTGCGGGACGCGTTCTACCGCTTCAAGATCGATGTGGAGCTCAGCCGCTACTTCGGGCTGCCGCCGCTGCGAGCGGAGGAGCTCCACCTTCACGAGGCTGAGGGGGAGTGGCTGTCGCCGGACCGCTGGGTGCACCCCTGCTTCGCGGTGCTCCCCATGGGGTTCAAGTGGTCGCTCTACCTCGTACAGGAGGCGGTCACCAAGCAGGTGGAGGATGCCACGGGCGCGACCGCCGATCGGCGCCTGCAGACGTTTGGCGGCTCGCGCCTGATTACCTCAGGCGGGCAGCCTCTCCACTATGTCTACGTGGGCAACGTGGGCTTTCTTGGCGGTCAGCCTGAGGAGGTGCAGACGATGAAGGATTGTGCTTGCGAGCGATTGGACGGCGTGGGGCTGTCCACTCACGAGCACATCGAGGCCCAGACTCAGTCGGAAGTGCTGGGCGTGGCGATCGATGGCGGCCGGGGTATTGTAGCCACGTCGCTCAAGAGGATGTGGAAAGTCGACAGCCTGCTGACCTGGCTGCTGGACCGTGGAGTTGCCTCGGGGCACCAGCTGGAGTCGACCGTTGGCCACCTGACCTTCATTTCCATGCTCCGTCGCCCCCTGTTGTCGGTTTTGTCTGCGACCTACCAGTTCATTCGCAGCGCTGGCGGTGAGCAGGTCGACCTCTGGCCCTCTGTGCGGGCCGAGCTTAGTGCAGCACGAGCCCTGTTACCCTTTGCCTTTGCTCAGTGGAGATTGCCCTGGCATGGCGAGGTGGTGGCGACGGATGCCTGCCCTACAGGATGGGGAGTTGTCGAGAGCTCTTGGAGTGACAAAAATGTGAAACAGGTTGGGAGGGTCGACGAGCGTATGCGATTTCGGGTCCGACAAGATATGGCTCATCGTGCACGCGCTCTTGCAGGTTCTCGAGATGCCCTGGAGGACAAGTTCACCGTGTACGTCCCTAAGGGGACGAATGACCCGAACGAGTACTGGGAGGAGGACCCCAAGTTCCCCGACATCAGCCCCGACTGGATCCACGAGGCCCCCTGGAAGTTTGTATACGCTGGAAGGTTCTGCCGTAGGGAGGCCATTCACATTCTGGAGGCGAAGGGGATGATCTGGGCCCTTCGTCGGCTCGCAAAGCGCCCGGGTATCGGTGGTCGTCATGTCGTCTTCTTGGGGGATAACATGGGCCAGATCTTGGCGTTCTGCAAGGGGAGGGCCTCGGATTTCCAGATGAACATCTGCTGTCGAAGGTGGTGCGCCCTTTCCCTGGCCCTCAACATCCGTTGCCATGTTCGTTGGGTGCCGTCTGAGCTCAATCCCGCCGACGGGCCTTCGCGGCGGTACGAGCCCGGGCACAAGCGGCCGAAGCCCGATGCGGTCGCAGGGGCCGGCCCGGCCGCCGCCTGTTCGGCGAGAGGATCGGCGCCTGTTGAGCAACGGGCGCAATGCTGCACAGAAGGCGTCGGCTATTCCGTCGGCTCGGCCGCGGAGGGAGATCCCGCGCCTGCCGAGGAGCGTGCCGATCTCGCAGCCGGCGAAGCTGAGGAGGCTGAGTACGGCGCTGGCGAGGCAGGACCGCTTCTCGGTGGAGGTCGACGCCCTCGGCCGCTCGTTCCTGGAGACGAAGGCCGTGGGGGAGAAGGTCGACCAGCAGTACGTGGAGGTGATGGAGGGGTTCGTGCAGGACTGCGCCAGGCTCGGTCTCTCGCTCGACTCCCCGGAGGAGGTCGACTTCGCCCTGATCGAGGTGTTCGACGAGAAGTTCTTCAACGGCATGGACGGGAGCGTCGGGCACTACCTGCTGGCGGCCATCAAGGGCATCCGCCCGGAGTTCGGGCGAGCTGGGACCTTTCGGCTTCCCCGTGCCCACCGTGCCCTCCAGGGCTGGGACCGCCTGGCTCCTGGGCAGTCGCGGCTCCCCGAGGCGCGACCGGTGTGGGCGGCCCTGATGGTGGAGCTGGTGCGGGCGGGCTTCCGCACGATGGCCATCGAGACGCTGGCCGCGCTTGTGACCTACGCGCGGCCTGGGGAGATTCACGAGCTGAAGGCGAAGTGGCTCATCCCCCCGTCGTCGAACGTGGGGCCCCACTGGACGTTCGTCATCCGGCCGTCCGAGGAGCTGAGGCCGACCAAGGTGGGGATCTACGACGACACCGTCATCTGGGACAAGGAGGAGGCGTGGACCACGCAGCTGCTGCGCGAGCTGGTGCGCGGCAAGAGCGGCGACGAGCCCGTCTTCAACTACAGCTACGCCGCGTACCTGAAGCAGTTCAAGGCAGCTGCGAAGCGGCTGGGGCTTCCAGAGCTGGTTCCTTACCAGCTCCGCCACAGCGGCGCGTCGTGGGATCGGCTGCAGCTGCGACGCACGCTGGACGAGATCATGAAGCGTGGCCGCTGGGGCAGCCACAAAAGCGTCGCCCGCTACGAGAAGGGCGGCCGTGTGCAGGCGCAGTGGCAGCGGCTGCCCAAAAGTTTCCAGCAGTTCGCCCTGTGGTGCGAGGCCAACCTGCAGCACGTGATGCTGAACGGCCTCGCCCCGCCCGCCCCACCGTCGCTGCCGCGCAGTGGGCTTTTGAGGACGTCTACTCCGGCTGCGGAGGTGTCGCGGCGGAAGTGACAAAACTTGGAGGCCGTGCAACAGTGACCGATGTCGTGCATGGCCCGGATCACGATCTAACAAAGAATCGAAATCAACAAAGACTTTTGAATCGCGTCCGAACTGGCAGAGTAAAAGGTGTGATGATCGCAACTCCCTGTCACACACTGAGCCGGGCACGTCGTGGGTGCCCACCGCCGCTCCGATCCAACGAGTTTCCCTGGGGCCTGGCAGGGCTCAGTGCCGTGGATGTGGAGAAGGTGCGTATCGGTAACTTGCTGACCAGGTTCACGATAAAGCTGGTACGCCTCTGCCTGAGGATGAAGATCCCGTGCATCGTCGAGAACCCTCTCACCTCAATGTTCTGGATCCTTCCTGAGGTTCTAAGGTTGCTCGCCTGTCCGCAAGTCAAATTGGAACGAGTAGATTTTTGCCAATTCGGAACCCGATGGAGAAAAGCAACTAGACTCATGCTGTGTAATATACCTGACGACGTGTGTAGGACTCTGGACTCTTTTAAGTGTAAAGGGCGGGGGGTGTGCTCTCGGTCTGGTCGCCCCCACCTCGAGCTCTCTGGCAAAGCCCCGAATGGGAAATTCTGGACCTTAATTGCACAGCCCTACCCCCCCCGCCTTTGTAAAAAGCTCGCCGAGGTTTTTCACTTATGTCATCTCGCTCGGTCTGGTCAGGGACTGCTTTCAAACTTGTCGTGATCTGGGGATCTCAGGGCATTCATGGGCCCGGGGCACAAAGTGGTCTTGGGTCTCTGGAGAAGCTTTCAGAGGCTCTGCCGTTGCAAAGCGTTCGTGAGATGATGTTGTCTCGTCTGGCTGCACACTGCATGATATAGAAGCGTCTGCGTGAAAACGATCGCCCTCATGGCACTGTCTTTGACTGGAATGAGGGCGGGTGGAAACTGCGAGAGTGGGAAGCGACCGCGGCCCATTTTTGCTCAAAGTTTTCCCTCCCAATTTTATGTGACTCTCGTTTGCCCAACCCTGCTGTCCCTGACCTTGCCTGGGGTCTCTGGAGAAGCTTTCAGAGGCTCTGCCGTTGTAAAGCGTTCGTGAGATGATGTTGTCTCGTCTGGCTGCACACTGCATGATATAGAAGCGTCTGCGTGAAAACGATCGCCCTCATATATATATATATATATATATATATATATATATATAGAAGCGGCGACCGGGGCCCCGCGGCCCAAGGTCGCACACTTTCCCCCCCCCCCCCCGCCCCGTAACTGATTTTGCCCACTGGGCTGCGGGGGCCTTTTCGGGCATCCGGGGGCCCGTTTTCGGAGTCCTGGAACTTTTTCCGCTTCCCCGAGGCGTCCAACCTGGGCTTCTGGAGACGGCAAGGAGCCGCCAAGACGGCCCAAGAGCGCTCCAAGCCGCCCAAGATGGCCCCATGATCGACCCAAGAGGCCCCCAAGATGCCTCGAGGTCGCTCCGCGAGGACCTCCAAGAGAGCCCCAAGTCGCCAAAATCATTGATTTTCATTTTGTGTTTCCAAGATTTGTTGATTCTCACGTTTTCGAGCGGCCGACACTCCAAGAATGCCCAAGAAGCCTCCAACGTCGCCCCAAGAGGCCCACAAGAGGCCCGCAAGAGGCCCCCAAGACAGCCCAAGAGGGCCGCATGATCGGCCCAAGAGGCCCCCAAGACGGCCCAAGAGGGCCTGAAGAGGCCTGAAGTCGGCTCCAAGATGGGCCCAAGAGAGGGAACGCGAACCGACCTTTCGAGTTTTCCGCCCCCAGAGACCCCCAGGAGGCCCCAAGAGGCCCCCAAGTGGCTCCAAGAGGCTCCAAAGAGGCCCAAAGATGCTGAAGAGAGGTCCGACAAGCTCCACAACGCCCCCGTGGAGGCTGCAAACCTGCTTCCAAAAGGCCCCCCGAGAGGCAACCCACGATCTCATCCCTGCGAACATCCGAGAACCCTCTAACCCACAACCCAGACACTATTGCGGGATGGGCCCAGAGTTGCGACCTCTGGTTCGCATAGGGGGCTGGGGGAGGCTTGAGGGCTCCAAGAGGGTTCAGAAGGGGCCCCGGACCCGTCCAGAGGCTCCCAAGGTGGCCCAAGATATTCCCAGGAGGCTCCAGAGAGACCCCCAAATGCCCGAACAGAGGCGCCCTCTGCCCCAAGAGGCCCCCAGGAGGCCCCAAGAGACTCCCAGGAGGCCTCCACGACGCCCCACATAGCCACCAAAAAGGCTCCAGAAAGACCCGAGAAGCTCCCGAGAAACCCCCACCGAGCTCGCAGGAGGCCTCTACACAGACCCTCAGAAGTCCGCCAGAAGCCGTTCGTCCTCCATGCTCCGGAATAGCCCTTCGGAACACGTGGCCCTGGCTGCACCCCCCGATTCGCCCACCCAATGTCGAAGCCCGAGAACGCCCCCATGACGCCCGCAAGACGCTCCGGAAACACCTCTCCCGCGCACGTGGATCAGGTGACAATGATGCTGATCGTCGGTGGTCCGTCGTCGTCGTCATCGGTCGTCGCTGGTACGCTACAGGCCAAACCCTTTCTTGAACTTCGCAGTACCCGCCCGAAAATCATGCATGGGTGAAAGGGAGGAGCCCGGCAGACCACATGGAAAAGGTCCCATGGAAATATTCCGTCTTCGGAGTCGACTAGGACCTAAGCGCGCGCGAAGCGCGCGTGGTTCTAGTACATATATATACTCATGGCTATGTATGTACATGTAGTCTGTACAAATGTATATGATACCGCATCGATTCATTAGCTCTGTTTGCTCATCCCCTGAGCATTCCCCGCGGAAGCCCAAGTACGTAAAGGTGGGTTACGACATCTGCCGCATGCAGCGGATTTTTGCCCCGCCGCCCGGCGCCATACATTGACGGCTCTGGCGCCAGGAGGCACCGGGGAAAGCCAGCTACGTGAGTTGATTCGCCAGCGTTTCCTTTGCAAATCGTTCGCCCGACCTTCGCATCAAGATCAAATTCACAAATTGCGGTTTTTGAAACAGTCTGGTTTCTGGGGGCCCTTATCGGTCCCCAGGACTGTCAAACACAAGGGGCGATTCCGCCAAGGATCATGCAAGTATGGTGCAATCGACGGACCAGGCGGCGATGTGGGTCAAATGGGCCCAGGGCAAGCTCAAATAGAGCCGCGAGGCTGTGGATGTGGGTATGTTTCCCGCCCGCGACAACAGTCAAAACTTCGGGATGATGCCCACTCGGGTATCGAGCGGGGCTTGATGCTCCTCAGGCCCTTTCGCAGGTCTCTCCCTGGCGCTTCCCGCGTGCCTGGGAGCCCATCTCCTCCTGCAGTGTTACTTGTGGTAGAACTTGCGGAGCACATCAGACAAGCAAACATACGAAAACACAGTCAAGCTGCACAGGGCATCATAGCCCAACCTGCAAAAGCCATGGCCCTTAGACCCAAGAAACCCTAGTCGGGGGCCAATTTTGTGGCCACCGCCCCCGCGCGCGTGCCTTGTGCCAGACCAGCTTGCCTGTGTGAGTGGTGTAACAAAGTCGAAGTGTTGAGAACGCCCCGGACTAGTCGGGGGGGCCTGCTGAGGCCAGCTGGGACCATTCGCGGCGCATTTTGAGGCCAGCCAGGACTGCCTGGGAAGCTGCCTCCGCGCAACCCGAGAGCCTCACCAATCGTGTCGCCAGGGGGGGGGCCATGTTTGTACACAGACCCCGCTCCACGCTCTTGTGCCGGACCACCTCGCCTGTGGGGGTTGGTGCACAAACATCGTGTCCCCACCCAGAGCTCGCCGGAGCGACCCCTCAAGCGCTCCAATCTGTGGCGGGAGCGCCCGAACTCCTCGACCTGTGCCCCTCGATCGATCGATGGTGGCGACGAGAGTTGCTTCTACTGTTGTGTAGACCAATGAAGAGCCTAGATAGGATGATGATGATGATGATGATGATGATGATGATGATGATGATGATGATGGTGGTGATGATGATGATGGTGATGGTGATGGTGATGGTGATGGTGATGGTGATGGTGATGATGATGATGGTGATGGTGATGATGATGATGATGATGATGATGATGATGATGATGATGATGGTGAAGATGCTGATTATGATGATGATTTTGGTGAAGATGATGCTGATGCTGATGCTGATGTTGGTGCTGACAATAATGATGCTGATTATGATGCGGCTGATGCTGATGCTGATGATGTTGATGTTAATGATGATGATGCTGATGATGTTGTTGATGATGATGGGGACGGTGATTGTGGTGGTCGTGGAGATGGTGATGGTGATTGTGATGGTGACGGTGATGGTGGTGGTTATGGTGATGGTGGTGGTGATGATGATGGTGATGATGAGGAGGAGGATGAGGATGAGGATGAGGATGAGGATGAGGATGAGGATGATGATGATGATGATGATGATGATGATGATGATGATGAGTTGAATAATGATGATCGTGATGGTGAAGATGATGGTGATGGTGATGGTACTGATGATGCTGATGGTGATGATGATGATGGTGGTGGTGGTGGCGGTTGTGGTGGTGATGGTGATGGTGATGGTGATGGTGATGGTGATGGTGATGATGATGATGATGATGATGATGATGATGATGATGTTGATGTTGTTGCTGATGATGATGATGGCGATGATGATGAAGATGATGGTGATGGTGATGGTGATGATGCGAAGGAGTGGTAGTGGTTGTGGTGGTGGTCTAGGAGGACGATGATGGTGAAGATGATGGCCTAGGAGGACGATGATGGTGGTGGTAGTGGTGGTGGTGGTGATGGGGATGGTGATTGTGATTTTGGTGATGATGCTGATGATGATGGTGGTGATGATGATGATGCTGGTGCTGATGATGGTGATGATGACGCTAATGCTGATGATGGTGATGGTGATGATGATGCTGATGCTGCTGCTGATGATGATGATGACGATGATGATGAAGATGATGGTGATGGTGATGGTGATGATGCGAAGGAGGGGGGCAAGGGGCAGATGGGGCGGTAGGACGAGGAGGACGGGGAGGAGAGGGAGGAGGAGCGGGGATATGGAGGAGGAGGAGGAGGAGGAGGAGGAGGAGGAGGAGGAGGAGGAGGAGGGTACACCATTTGCCGTCGTCGCGCCCGCCACAGCGAGCGCCTGGCGAGCCTGGACTGCCTGGTCAAGGGCTTCTCGGCCGACATCGCGGAGCTCACGGGGAGGCACCGACAGAGCCGCGCGGGAGAGCGCTGCTGAGCCAGACCCCCCTTTTTTGAATTCCAAGACCTCGTTTTTTTGAGTTCAAGGACCTTCGTTTATGGAGTTCCAGAACTTCGTCTTTTGAATTCAAAAGCCGTTTTTGAATTCAAAGGCTCGTCGTGGAAACAACACGACATGCTTTTTACAATTTTTGTTGGCCTTTGGGGGGCCCTTGCCAGGCGCCTCGGCCGTCAAAAACATCTGCTCGGGAGGCAGACCCGGTCCCAGGTGATGGATATGGGTCGAGACCTCCTGGGGGGCAACGAGAGGGGGGGGACAGGCATACACATTGTTCATTCCTAATCCTTCGAAGGTTCTTTGTTTTTCTGGGGGGGCCAAGATCCTTTCAGTTCTAATTGTTCTATCCTGGGCCTCTTCCTGGCCACTAGGGGGCCAGGAACAATTAGAAACGAGCACGATTAGAAGAAATGAGCACGATTTGAAATGGACGACGTGTAGGTTTGTCGGGCCTATCCTTCTACAGGAGGGAAATTCAAAGATAGTCAAAAAATAGTCGGGGGACGATGTTTTGACTATTGTTGAGCTTGTTCGCATTATTTCCAGACTGTTTTGAATTTTTCATCCAAAATCCGCCTGTATGGGGACATGCCCGACCTACGCGTAGGTCGGGGATGCATCGACCCCCAATCGTCCATCCATCGCCGAGAAGGGCCCGACAGCCCCACCCCGCCCAGGAACGTGTGGATTTACTATCGGGGGCATATCGCCGATCCATCGGCGATGTAGCGCCGATTCCAGGTCGACGTTTCCCTGTGCGAGTCCCCCCCTAACGGAGCCCCTCGCCTTCGGGGGGCCCACGTATTTAGAACATCGATGCGTCGGCTGTCTGGGTTCGAAATCAGGGCCGCAGAAGTGAGGACAGCACAAGCCGGGACCCTGCCAGATCCAGCCGGGGAGAGCAAGGCACGGAGAATGCTTCGACCCGCGGTCGCAGGCTGTTCGGCCGTTCTTGACGCCATGGCTTATCACAGTCCCTTCTTTAGGGGGCCCTGGCAAGAGACACGTTTCCAGTGCTTGCTGCGGCCAAGAACAGTTTTCGGGCCCTGGGGGCGGCCCTAAACAGACTCGGGGTGCAAACGACCTCGGGAAGCGGTGTGGCGATTCGGATGCCCTCTTTTAATCGAGTCGGACGAGAATGGGGGGATGTGGCAAGGGGGGATACAGCATCTGCTGCATGCAGCTGGTATCGGCCCCGCCGCCAGGCGTTTTCCTCGATACAGCGCCTGGAGGTACCAGGAAAACCAGCTACGCGAGCCGATTCGCAAACCCCCCTTTTGCTATCCCCCCCTTCGTCTGACCCGATTTGAGACCATCTGGTCTCGCGGGCGAGACACATATCCGTATCCGCGGCCTCGCGGGCCCGGCCCCTGGGCCGCGGCCCCGCCGAGACGGGCACATTTTTGCGCGGACGCCCCGCGCGGAACGTACCCGTGCGACCGCGTGTCCGCAGGATCGCGCCCCGGAAGCCAGACCGCGAGGGTGTGGACGTGGATGCGTTCGCCGCTCGTGATGGCCGCGGAGGGTCTGGGACAAGTCGGGCATGTCCCTCTACCCTCTGCAGGAGGAGCATGCAAGACCAGTGCAAAAATCGTCCAGCGACGATGTTTCGTGCCAATTGACGATGCTGTATGTCGTTTGACTGCTTGTGTTGCTTTTCTTCCAGACTCCGCCTGCAGGAGGACGTGCCCGACCGAAGTCTGGGACCGCGGGGTGGATGGGGCTGGGAGCTGCACGGCACCCGTGGTGGTGGAGGGATGGCGGTGCGTCCCAGTGACGTTCCTCCTGGACGCTCAGAGTTCTAGGAGGCTGCATCTGTGGCGTCAACATCGCAGAGCGGGTTTCGTTCGGAAAACGATAGGATGGGCCAGACGTGTCTTGGAGAATTTCGTTCCGGATTTCGAGGTTAATTTCGCGCGGATTTTATTGGCCAGGAATGAAGACAAACAAATCCACGCGAAATTCACTTGGTTTTCCGCTGGCCATTTCGGGGTTCTGCATTGACCACGCGAAAATCCGCTGCAGCACGTCTGCAAGGCCAGCGCAATGGTACATTCGGCATCCGCCGTGGTGCGTCCTTGGTAAGATACAGCAGGGCTCATTTCGATTCCCCCGATTCCGTTCGATTCGATGTTGGTGGCTTCCGATTCCGATTCGATTCGATGTCGGATTCCGATTTGGGCTCCGATTTATCAGCGGAGGCCTACTGAACTGCCGATTTCCGCCGATCCGATTTTTTCCGATCCGGCTGCCGATTTCCGCCGACCCGATTGATTTCGATCGCCGATCCGAATTATCCATTCGATTCTGCGCCCTCCTGATACAGTAGAAGCCCATGCCAAGAAACACCTATGCTTGCCTCCAGGTCGCCCTGGGTTTCTTGGGTTTCGATGGTGCTGCTATTGAGTACGTAATTTCCAAATAACAACAATCAAGGTACGTCCTGAGGTTCCCTGGTTGGGTTTCTTTTGGGAGGTTTCTTGTGGTCGAGCTCCTTGTGTATCCGAGGACAAAGACACGGCAGACACCTATGTACATTCTCGGAGTTTCGCGCGGATTCCTCGGATGGGCGCTTGGGCCCCCCCTCGCGCGCCAGGGTGCAGGGGTCCAGCGCCGATCCAAGAAACCCGCCCGGACCTCCTGAGAAATTCCCCAATCAGCGCTTGCACTGAAGGGGTCCTAGCGGAAGTGGGATGATTTGGCGAAAGTTTCCCGCCGATTTTGGTAGCAGGTTGGGTTCCCAGGTTCCGGTTCCGGGTTCCCGGGTTCCTGGTTATTGGTTCCGGGCCGATTTCGGTGGGTTCTGGCTTCCCGGGCTCGTGGGTTCCCGGTCGACCTCCTCAGCGAAAACCATCCACTGATTAGGATTAATATTTGCTGTAATTTCCAGGTCAGTATATAGTTCAAACTCGCCCATTGGGCCTCCTGGGACGACTCGCTGCCTAGATTATCGCCGTCGTCACTGTGCATGCATATTGCCGTCGGCACTTTTCGTTTCAAGGTCCCTTCCAGGGCTGGTGTCGTCCTCGACTCCGCCATGCCAGTTCCCAGATTTTTGAGAATAAATTCCCTTTCTCCATGGGGAGCGGTGTTCGATGCGGCGGGAGCTGCATCACCCTTACCCGATCGATTTCCGCCGGCATCGTAGTGGGGGGAAGGAGAAGCGACACCAACACCACCAGGGGGCCCACCGCCAGCGAGGAGGTCCACGGTCCATGGTGCCTCCCCGAATTGGGGGCTAGGGGACGTCTCGAGCGAGAGGTGGGGACCACACCACCAGGGGGACCACCCCTGGCTCCTCGCGCTGGTGGTCCCTGGTGATGTTGGTGTCGCTTCTCCTTGTTCCTATCGTAGTCGGCGCTGTCGGCCCTCTTCTCGTTGTGTCCTCGTCTTGGGCATGGCGCCGCTCACACCCCTTGCTGTGGACAGGTTGCCCGTCCTCGTCGCCGCGCCGCCGGCGTCGTCTCTCTCCAGCGTGTGCCCCCCCCCCCCCCCCGTCCCCTCTTCTCCCCCCCCGCCGGTCCCCTCTTCCCCCCCCGCCGGTGCGCGGACGGCAGCCGGCCGCATTACATGGGCACGGGAAGCTGCGACGCAGATTTTGCCGGCCAGCCTTTGCGGATGATTTCAGGGGCCGACCACAACGCGGTTTAGCTTGGATTAGGCCCTTGTGTTGTTGTTCGTTCCGTTTTTCGTTGTCGTTTCGTTTCGTTTTTCGTTTCGATGATTTGATTCACCCCTCGCACGTTCCGTGGCCCCACGATGAAGTCAGGCCTGTCCCTCTACAGGGGGGAGCTTCCAAAGTAGTTGAAAGATCGTCTGGGGACCTTCTTTCAGTATTTCTGCATATGTTAGGGGGGTATGTTGTTGACTACTTTCAATTTGTCGCCCCAATTCCGCCTGTAGGGGGACACCCCCGACCTGACCCCACAAGGAGCTCCACCAGAGGCAAGGGCTCCCACGAGGGCGCGAAGTTATTCGCGGTTCGCGCTTCGCGGTCCTCGATCCTTCTCCCCCTCCTCCTCGTCCTCCTATTCTCCCTTTGGGGGGGGCGGCGCGAGAGCGCGAAGTTATTCGCGCTTCGCGCTTCGCGCAGCGCGAAGCGCGAAGCTGGGAGCCCTTGCAGAGGCCCCAGTGGCAGGGCTCGCACGGCGCAGCGAGCCCGGGTCCTGTGCTTCTCTCCCCCCTTCTCGACGCCGCCGTCCTCTGCGTTGGCCCCCCCGCTCCCTCGTCACGCCTGCTCAGTGATACTCCGAAGTCGGACCAGCTCCACCAGAGGCAAGGGCTCCCACGAGGGCGCGAAGTTATTCGCGGTTCGCGCTTCGCGGTCCTCGATCCTTCTCCCCCTCCTCCTCGTCCTCCTATTCTCCCTTTGGGGGGGGCGGCGCGAGAGCGCGAAGTTATTCGCGCTTCGCGCTTCGCGCAGCGCGAAGCGCGAAGCTGGGAGCCCTTGCAGAGGCCCCAGTGGCAGGGCTCGCACGGCGCAGCGAGCCCGGGTCCTGTGCTTCTCTCCCCCCTTCTCGACGCCGCCGTCCTCTGCGTTGGCCCCCCCGCTCCCTCGTCACGCCTGCTCAGTGATACTCTGAAGTCGGACCTGTCCCTCTCGGGTCGGGCGAAAGGGGGGGATTGGGAAAGGGGGGGTTACGAAATTGCTGCACGCAGCTGGTTTCGGCCTCACCGAGGGGCCCATTCCTCGATACATAGCCGCCTCCGGCGCCCGGAGGCGCCGGGAAAATCAGCTACGTGAGCTGATTCTCAAACCCCCCCTTTGCTATCCCCCCCTTTCGCCCGACCCGATACTCTGAAGTCGGACCTGTCCCTCTGAAAGAGAAATGTTCAAAGATAGTTAAACGTAGTATGGGGACGATGTGTTGCGCATTGTGTGGCTTTTTGGGGGGCATGTTTACTATGTTTCACTTGTCGTCCAAAGTCCCCGTGTAGGAGGACATGCCCGAC